CCAGTACCACATATTATAGAACCATAGAATGATTTGGGTTGGAAAGGACCTTGAAGACCATCCATTTTCAACCCTGTGCCATGGGCAGGGACACCTCTCACTAGACCAGGTTGCTCAAAGCTCCATCCAATCTGGCCTTGAACACTTCCAAGGATAGGGCATTCATAACTTCTCTGGGCAACCTGTTCCAGTGCCTCATCACCCTCAAACAATGATTAGAATATAACAACGACTGAAGTCTTTGTTTTTTTTTCTTCTGTTTTCCTGCAAAATTTATTAACAGAAAGGAGCTTTCTATATGCTCCAATTTCTTTAGTCTATGCACGTCTTCTCTCCATTTTTACCTTGATTATTCCCTTTTGCCTCCCCCCCCACAACTATTTTTCTTTTTTCCCCACACTACCTCCAATCCTGCCACAGTTCTCCCACTAACCAAAAGTTGATGAGGATGAAAAAAACCAAAGGACATCTCATTTATAGCATCATCCAAAACCATGCTGAGATAAAAGGAAAGGAAGGTTCAGCAAGGCTGCCTCCTACTAGCATAGACAAATAGAAGAAAAGAAGGGAATGGCCAAACATCACTATAGAAGCACCACTATGTTTACTGTGAAAACATATAGGAGATAATTTCCCCAACCCATGCCTGTCCTCTTTATGGCATAGGTTGATATTCATAAGCAGAACCAAGCTTCAGTGAGCAGGTAGACCCTGGAGCTGCACCCAGTCCTCTGCACTACACGCAGTCCAGATGTGCCTTCTGTGGGTATTTGAAAAAAATTCTGGATGACTGCTTTCACAGTAAGCACAGCGTCTCTGTGTCAGCAGACATATGAGAAGTTTCCTACTACATCTTTTTTATATGAGTTTATTCAATGTGACAATAGTAATTTATTACATTTCACCTTAGACATCAGCACTGAAAACCTGTTCACAACATGAGTTTCAATGACAGTTCCAGACCACATAGGACAGGATTCCTTAAGGGGGATATGAATTTCAAAACTGAATATATGAAATAAATTAAGAACACCGCCCGAGTAAATAAGGACACATAAAAAATAAAATCTCATACATGCAACTATTTTTTGTACTAATTTTTCCATGTATTTCTGCTAAAACTTCCGAATACAATGGATATTAATAAAATCATAAAAGTAATACAGACCTGGTGAAATATGCTAAAACAATAATTGTGGTGTCTAGACTTGCACTACTGTGAGAGAAGTAGATGAGTTTTATATATTATATATATATTTTTTTTTTAACTGTCACTATCCAACTGAAAGTGTCAGCCTATTACACTACTGTGTTGCATCCCTGTGGCCACAATAGAGCCACACTTTAAAAAACCCAACACTTGTGCTACTTGATGAGAAGGTGTACAGTGTGAAATCAGTTTCTAGAGAACATACAACTAAATATTTAACAATACGTTCCTCATTTAGGCACTTGCCTCCAGACAACAGAAGACTGATTTCATGGTAGAAAAATACAATGACACCATATCACCATGAGGAGAATGAAAAGGGAAAAGGAAAAAAAAAAAAAACCCACTCCACTCCTATACATATAAACCTCTGGTCAGGGGAATAAAAGTCCTATTTTCTCTTGTATACAGTTTTGTTTTGGGTTTTTTTCCCCTTCATAATTAAAAATAAATTATTCTCAATTACTGTAGCTTTAGAATACTGATTTTGGTAGCATTAACTTTTCTATAACTTATTGGTCTATTAACCAGAAACAAGACCAAATTATCTCATAAAAGAATGAAATAGCATTTTAATGTTCCATTTTAATTGTCGGCTCTCACTCTTTCAGAAACACATCAGCATTACCAACAGAAAGGATACCTCAGGTTAGCCAATCTATCACATGAGAGAGTTTATGAAGTATCATGAGGAACACAGAAACAAACAATATGACTAGAAGTATAAAGACACAATCTTAAAAAAAAAAGGAAAAAATAAAATCCTGATATCCATTAGTCATGAGAATGATGACAAAAATCCAAACTTATATACCTCAAAGTACAACAGAGATGTGCAGGAAGCAATTTCGTGGCCTAAGTATAGACCTACCAGAAGACAAAAAAATTGTACATAAATATCAGACTTCGCTCGCAGATGAATTTAGGAAAAAAAAAAAAGTGTAACTGAATAATTTAAAGATTTCACTAGAAAATAAGAATTGTATGCTCTGTGCCCCATATCAAACAGGAATGATCCAAGAGGAACTTAACTAATTTCACAGGCTGATAGAAGGATGGCAGCAGATTCCACCCCCCAGACAGTGCACACTACAGGCAATGGAGATGACTGAAGAAAGAGACCATTGAAATCAGGAAAGGAAGACTTCAGAAAGGTTAGATCTTACAGCCATGGAGATGACAACACTAGTGGGACCCTTGCACAGCATGGCTGCAAACGCCATACAAAATCTTAGGACGAAACATTAGTAGCGTTGCTGGAAGGGAAACAGCCTTGGGAGAGCTTCAAACTAAAATTAAGATGACTGCATTGGCCATGTTAAGATAAATTAATGGAAAAGCCATCTTCCACTCCTCATACTTCTGCTTGGAATTTGAGTTCTTTGAGGTATATTTTTCAAAGATTAATGGATGAGGGACTATCCTTACTGCTTGCTCAGGTACATATGCTTTCCTTACTTCAAGCACAGAAAACTCAGAAAACTTTCTAATTCATTACATTTCTTATTATGAGTATTTTTAATACAAAGAAATTATGCAAAATATTAGATGTTTTACAATTAATGTGTACATTATTTATATCTACACTCTCATTTATTAAATTGATTTTTAAGTGCTTACTCCATTTATATACCATGAATCAAAATTAAAGTGTTGAAACAAAACTGTTCTTTTTATGCTTGTTACACCACAAAATGATATGTAAAATTACCAAACAGCAGTGGATTGTACATTCATACTCATACAACCAAAATACATGAATGATTTATATCTATTTTATTATTTAAATTAGCTGGTTAAGGATGCATGTATACTAAATTCCTTTATCCATAATCCAGCACTGCATAATTTAATGCTAGCCAGAAGAGAATTGCTTGTTCTTTCCTACATCCCTGCAAACAGCTCGCTCTCTCCTTGAAACTACATAAGGTTTGATAGCTCTTCCTACATCTTCATCACATTGTATTTATATAACTACAACCAGCAGGTCAGCTCCATTCAACCTTGATCGTATTTTCCTTACAGATGATCAGATTATGATTCCAGTTGGTATGTTCAACAGTTAAAAATGAACTGAGGCATATAATGATGAAATAGAGTATTTTCCTTATGCTTACCTTTTTACCATAGATACCTTCATAATTTGTATGAAACAGCTGCACTGGTCAAGTGGTTGCTACAAAGACAGTTTGGATCCAAAGCTGTCACAGGACGGGTGCCTGCAACGCCTGGCTAGACTGCCCAGAACCGTTGTTACCTGTATGCTCTGTGGCACGAGGACTGAAATGCCTCAAACACTGACATGGCCTGTGAGCATTTTTTTTCTTAAGCACAGTAACTTGTTTATAATACTGAAAAAGATGTGGAAATATGCATATGGCCTGGGGAAATATGCATATGGCCTGGGGAAGACTACTTCTCACAAGCAGCACAGCTGCCAGAAGATAACCAGATCCAAAGAGCTGCCCAATCCGATGACCAAAACCTCTCTTGCTCTTAAAAATATCACAGTTCCTTCTCAGTGGGTTGAATACATTCAGGACAAAACAGGAAATTTTTGCCTGTGATTGCCTGGAAGTTGGTAAGTAAAGTCAGAAGGACTTGTTCTAAGCAGTTCATAATAGCCTTTTTGGCTACAACTGATCTTCTGCATCACTAAACAGATGAAAGAGACTTCTGCAAAAGATCCTGATCATTCTTGACACCAACTTCCTTTCCTCAGCAACCTCAAAAATCTCAGTATCTTTCTAGGTTACTCCTCTGAGACTTCCAGCATCTTATGTAACAGACTGTATTTTTTCAGAGAGCAGCACTGCCTATTACAACTGTTACAATTTTACTATACATTGTGGTTCAAATATGAAAGCCAAAGAACAGTACAATCACTCAATGATGTACTTGCATCAGAGAGTATTTTATTTCTAAATAACAGACTTAGAAAAAATAAATTGTTAAAATAGCCTTAACAGGCATGAAATTGCTCTTAGAAAGAGCAACTTTTCAAATCCAGACTCCTGGAGGACTAGAATACCCTGGATAGTGAAACTGTGGTTAACCTATAGGCTATTTGGAGCAGTGGGAAGTAGTGCATTTGTAACTCAAGACAAACTGCTTATAAAGAACTGTGGCTGGTGGTATCTTTTTTTCCTCTTCAGCAATGGGATATATAGTAAATTACTGTTTTGTATTTAGTGTCAATTACTAAGCAAGTAATGTGACATTTAACCAGTAATTTTTATTAAGGAAAATTATTAAATTAGCTCTACTTTTTTAAAAAATCCTACAATCCAGGAAACAAGAAAATAACACCTGCATTAGCACGTGTGCATGGACACATAAATGCTAAAAATAGCATAGTGATAGTACCTGGACGAATATAAGAGGAAAAGCTTATATATTCTGTTTCCACAAACTCTCTCATCACCTTCTACAACATGCTTCTGGCTAAAATGAACTATTAACGTTTGGCTTTTTTTTTTTTTTTTTTTTAATCACAATACCCTAGAAATAAACTAGTTTATTATATTTACTTGTTAAAAACATTCCTTTTTCAAATCAATGCTGTATCAGCATCATGAAATACATTGCCTACCTATACTGTGACGGAATAATTTTACCCCGTATTGTTACTCCTTATCACTACCTTCATAACACAAACAACACTTTAACACAGTAATCAATCATTTTCTTCTGAGGAACCAAAGCTCACAAATGCTTTAGAATTAAAGAAATCTTAACCCATTATTTTATAACGACTGGCAGAATAAAAAGCAAAATTCAAGTATCTTACCTTTTCGTCCAGGGTATACATGAGGGTAATACTCATAATAAAGATCAGGCTGGTCTAAATTTCCAAATGGTTCAAATTCCATTTCTGCATTTTGGAATAGATTCAGTTTTACCAGCAGTGCTAGTCTCACAAACCACAGCTAAAAATTAATACATATGAAAAGAAGGAAAAGACAAGTTCTGTTATTAGCTTCAATAACAAGCTAACCAAATACAATTTCAACTTTCTAATTTTTTCTGATAAAATTGAGTAAAGAGTGTCTGTGTCATTAACTGATAAAAATCAGGAGCATATTTACACGCTTTCATTGAATGCTTTTCATAAGATTATTAAAACAAAACACAGAGGACTGATACTTTAATTGTTTGTAAAGGTATTGAGATTTTGAAGTTTAAAAACTGGCTTACTTCAAAATTAGAACATCTAAGTTGAGTTAGCATGCACGAATTATCAAACTAGTTTTTAATAATTTTTGCAATTTTATGCAATTCTTAAAATCTGTTATGATTTTGGTGGAATTCCATGAACTTTATAGTTACTAGGGCCAGAACCATGCACTGTCATCAGGTCACATTTTGTTCAGTAAAATGCTTGCAATGTTGCACAAACCTTTATTGATTATTTTTTTATCATCATAAAACATACTTCTAACATTTGAAATATTACTACAATGTTCACAGTCTAGATAGTGTCGATGAACTTTAGTACAATGAATCTTCCAAAATAGCAAAGCATATTTCTCTTTACTAGTGTGACTACCTTTAAAAAGTGTCTACCTTTTTAAGTGAAGACCTACTTTACATAAGCAAATAGAAAAAGTGACTTATTAAAATACTTCAATAAACTCAGGTTTTGGGTAAAAATTACAAAAAGAAGTTTGATCATATTAAAAAAAATGTTAACTTGGATATTGTTGGAAAAAAATGACAAGGGTGTATCTTTAAATGTACCTGTAAAGAATCTGTTGTATGGTTAGTAGGCAGTCCACTTTTTTTATAGCCTTGACCATGGGCAGTTAGAAGCCTCCCACACAAGTCAACTGCTGCCCTCCAGTTTTTACTGCTCTGGGAAGAAGAAAAGTGTAAGTAGCAAAATCATAAAGTCCCTGAAATGCACAACTGCTTATTTTGCCCAAAGCAACTACATGTTCCCATCAGTAATAATGACAAGGTCAGGAGAGCTGGCCGGTGAGAAGCAGAATGTCATTTGTCAAAGTTGCACATCTAATTAGGCAGAAAGGGAAATCGAGCATTAATATTATCAGATCACTAAAACAAAAGGATATGCACAATACCATATGGAATTCCAAACTTAAAGCTACATCATGTTTGCTAATATACTTGAGTATACTATAATATTCAAAATTTTGTTTTCTTCTCAAAAGGACAATAAAAATTGCTGGCCATATTTCAATAATCACATCCAAATTCCTCTACTGTTATAAAGTATTTAACGCCTATTCCTGCCTCACTGACTTCAGTATTTCAGATTATAATCCCTAATATGGTTTATTTAATGAAAATAGACTTTGCTAACATTGCCCAGAATACAGAATTCCTATTAATTAAGATCAAAGAACAAGAAACAATATAACAGTGCAACCAATAAATTCAGAACGATAGCAATTGTTTCACATATAAAATGCAAATATCTGAATTTCCATTTCATGGAAAATTTCAAATATTCTTTAACACATTTTTTAATTCATTAAAAAAAAACCAACATTCCTCGTTAAAGAAGTCAAACTACCTTGTCATATTGTCATTCTACTAATGTTTCTGCCTTGAATATGCTAATGCAGCCACATATATAGCTAACACTACCAGAAACTTAAAACACAGACTGATGTTTCTCAGGTTTTAAGACATCATAGAATCATAGAATAGTTAGGGTTGTTTTCTATCTCACAGAAGAGTTTTTCAAGAGACGTGTATGCAGCAGGTCATTATAAAACAAATTTATCTTGTTCTTGAAAGTAGTATTTTTTCATATAGTTTCTTAAATACATTTAAAAAATCATAAATGTTATGATAAAAGAAAACTGTCATGTTGTCTGGCAAAATGTAAAGGAATATGCCCGCAAAGTTCAGGTACTCATCTTGAACTGGTATTTTATTAAATTCTCTCCAGTGTTAAGAATTTAGAAAACTTGTCAATACAGCAAACAAATACACATAAAAAAACAGTGGTAACAGCTGAAGTTTTCATACTCTTTAGCCCCCATTTTGAGATCACAATACACCGCCTACCTCATCTCCCTCCCCTGCATTGTCAAATCCCAGATAAAAATTTAACATCCACCTGGAAATGTAGAAGTGAGCTATCAGCAAGTCCACGAAGCAGCATAGCAGCTTCTGAGATGTCTATGCTCTTATGGAAGAGCAGGAATTGATAATGCGTTTATAGCATCCTTCAACATACAGCTGCATCAACTTAGAAAAGCAGAAAGACACTGGCATGGTTTATGTGAAATTTATTCCTCTTCTGCAATGACAAATTAATTTCTTATTATCCTTACTACAGAAGCATACATGGACTCTAAAACCAACTCTTCTTCCCAAGTGAGAGTTATGATCCAGAAATAATAATGGAACATTTGTGACAAACTTAGGCGCTACGATTTTTAGAATTCCATTTCAGGCATGGACAGAAAATATTTTTCCTTTATAGAACAAGACTGGCAGGAGAAGCAAGTCTGATAATCATCATAAAAACAGTCTTTGCTGGAAAATGAAACATAATATTCATCATTATTTCAAAATTAGAGATGCCTGCTGGTCATGGAGCATAATTCTCTGTGGAAACTTAATAGAAGGCTGCTGGCAGTATAACTTAATTTGAAATTAGCAGGACACATTACTGTCTCTGGCAAATTGTACCAGACTTACAGTTGCCAGTCCACCAGAAATCTTTACCCAGTTATTTCAAACACTCCACAAAACCTTGCAGGTTAGTCACGTTCACAGTTACTGCGGTCTACAGCTGCACAGCCTCAACAACCCAGGCCCCTTGTTCCCGAAAGTAATAGGGACGAATTTTGTTTGTAAGTCATAAGTAGAGGTTCAAAGTAAATATGGACACTACAGCTTCAGATATAGCATCCAAAATACCGAAGAATATTCTCAAAGAATCAAATAATTATTCTGTGATGATCAGGGCATGGTCATCCAGCTGCAATTGTGTGAAACATTAATTTTCTCCTAAGGAAAATAGTCTCAAGGAAATATTACTGCCAAATAGCTCACTAATACCATATCAGCCTGACAGAAGAGAACTTCTCTCCACACGACATTCACAAGTTTGGGGTCTTTTTCCACAGAAAGTATAAAGCTGTTCTTTTAATGAAGTCACCAGCTTGTGTTACTTCTGTGCTTTTTACACATTACGAGCCCAGACAACTACCTTGTGAAGGGATTTATTTGTTTTTTTAGTCCATATAACCTAACTACAAATTATAAAACCAAAACCCAAAGAAAAAAACCCAAATGTTTCAGGACACACACCAAAGCTAGGACAAGCAGATTAGCTGCTCAATACACGTGTTGCGATATCCTTGCAGAACTTCTCTGTTTTTCACAAAATCAGAAGAGGTCCCAAGGGAGCTTTACATACAGATGGGGAAACTGCATAGTAAACCAGGTTTCAAGTAAAAAGGATTTCTATTTTCCTTTAGGAACGACAGAACCAGCCCAATATATTTTTAGCTTTTCACTGAACTTCTTAAACTGAGATTTGACTACAATGACTCTAGGTTTAAATCAAAAATGTAGTCAGTATTTCCAGGATTTTGTCAGACTATTATCCCGTAGAAGCAGGAACTAAAAGTTTAATGTAGCTTGAGGTGATAAGACTTGTGTGATACAGAGCACAAAGCCCCTCCTCTCCTCTTTCCAGTGACAGTTTACCTTGCACACAAATCTGACATGCCTTTTTTGAAACAACTATAGTATATTTACTATCTTATTGCTTCTTTTGATTTGACTTCCAACCTGATCAAATACTGTATCTGCAGCTTTAAGAGACAAAAATTACAGTGTAAGGTGATCAACTCTCAACTCCTCATTCTATTGGTGGACTTACATTCCACCATTTTCAAAAGAAGAACCTGAATAAGGCTACTGTGATCTCCTTTTATTAAAAGCAATAAAAGAAAACAGCCTAAGATCATCTGAAATGGAGTCGACAATTAGTTACAAATTCTGTTAAGTTCACATTTAAAGATCTGGCAATGCTTCTAGTCCATTTGGTCAAAGTAAGTAACTGAAATATTCAATACATCCCAATGCCTTCAAATAAGCTTATTTTCTACAAAGAGAGATGAATGGGAGGAATGGGATGTAGCTGAAAAGAATTCTAGTGACTAAAAATAGCAACTAAACTAACAGAACTTCTATTAGTCCAACTACAAGAAGAGCCCTGAAGATGTATTGTTTAGATTCAGAAATGAAGAAAAGTTTCAACTGAGTAAAATGACCCAATACAAGCCAAACCGTAGCTGGCTGCAAAAACACTTTTTACATTTCTTCCTTTTCTAATAAAGTGTTATAAGAACTTAAATTATCAGAGTTTGCAATATATCTGAAAGACTCTGTTATTGTTCTATTGTGAAGATACTCACTTATTTGGCCTGAAAAAAAATATTACCGAATAGCTGAACACCACTGTCTCACATACATAACTGTTCCTTGGAAGCCTCCTCATGCTCCAGTTCTGCTTGGTTTGTTTTTTTTAGAATCATAAAATTGGATCTTAGATATGTGACTGCAGAAACTTTCATATTTATCTTTTGTGTACAATACTGGATGTTGTTTTCCCAAATGAAAGCAGCAAAACTGAGGTGATGCACAACCATAGCTAACACCCAGGTAGAATTCTTCTAGCAAGCAGAGTCATGCAGACTGGATGTCTACAGAAAACATGTTTAATGACAAGGGAACTCACCTGATACATGAAGACAATTTGTAACTTTATTCAGTCTCTCAGGAAAACAATTTTGACTCGGAGGTAAGCTGCTGAAATTTTACCCAATAAACCAACGCTTTTTAGCATAGAAATGCAACCTCTCCCACAAGCCCCCAGTTACTGTTTGTGCTACATGTGTCTCCCATCTCCCCTCAGACTGGCTGCAAAAATGTTGAAAATTACTCTCTGTTTTAGAAATAAAGCCCCCCTCCCCAATGTTTAAGAATAATTTTGTAACACTAAAGTGAATATATATGCCGTACCACTGCATCCAAGTTTGTTGTATTTGAAAATATATGTAACAGCACAGCATTAATCATGTGCAAAAGTAACAGTATATGATTTTTTTTTTTTAAATAGACTTAAAGGGAGTCATTAACTCTACATGTAACACCATTAAAGTGATTAAAATGTCCTCCTCCACTAGCTATGACATTTTTCTCCCCTGTAAATTACATTGGTAGAGCACTTCCACATCAGTTAAGAAAATGTAGTTAGTAACCCTTTCCTGGTCTAGCAGCTTGATGAAATGATTGCGTACTTAGGGCAAACACTGTGTATTTATAGTGGCAAGATCCAGTAGTCTTTTTTTAGGTATGGTACTATTAAAGACATAATTTTCCCATGGCTGCAAACACCTTATGACTCAAAATATCAGAAATGTCTCTAGTGAGAAATACTGTGCTATTTGTTCAAATTAAAAACCATTAATCTAAAATATGGAATAATTGGAACCAACATAATTGCAGCTCGCACCTTGTATGTGTAATTTTTATTTGCTGCTGTAAAACAAAGCAATGCTGTGAAGACAAGTTCTTGCTTACATTTATTTGCTCTAGAGGTAGATGCATGTTCCTATACCAGACTAATAAAACTGTTCAGAAACTGACAACTCAGATTTTCTGTTTTCAGTTGGGGAAAAAAAAAAAAAAAAAAAAAAAAAAAAAGCACTTAGCTTCCACAGATGTGTAACTCTATTTACAAGTTATCATCTCTAAGATAAGCACATAGATTTATAGAATTACTTTGCTGGACCACTCCAGCACTCCCATATCATTTCAAAGCCTCAAAGTTGTAAAACTAGTTCTACTGCACAATCTCTGCACCATTACCCTACCAGTACAGCATTTACAACTAACTGTTACCCATTCCACAGCAGAAACTTAAAATGTGAAAACACAGGTGTTCAATAAACCATCTATCTATCTTTGGGTTACTGCTACAAATCTCACTCAAATCAACTAGCCCAAATTCATGCTGAACAAACAATTTTGTTAGCAGAGTTTAACACTGAATTCGGCTCCTAGTGAACAACTATTTGTCTTAGAAATGATGCTGCTGTTGGTTGTCTCATCAGAAAAGGTGCACATTTGGAAGTTCAGCTTACTACCTTCCTGATACCATTTGGTTTTTGACAACTAATTGTGATTAAGGAAACTTTTGCAGACTGTTTGCGCTACAATCCCCCAAGTAGGACTTCTGTCTCCAACACTCTTTGCTTAAAGCACCACCTTCATCTTATCTACTGTCAGTTAAACCAAAACATGCACAGAATCGTTTTTTAACTTGTACAAGTAAATGTTTTTTACTGGAACTTTCATAAGGAAGAAGAGAAGTTACTACTCAAGGATGTACACTGGAATAAACTTAAGATATTATTTTGCAACCCTGGTGAACTAGTATCTGCGGTTTTAGTTTTAATCTAGGAAGTACTGTCAATATATGTTATTGACAATATTGATCCTTATATATCATCATCACTAAACAGGGATCAGATGACTTATAATATCAGAATAACAGAAAAGGTAAACCACAGTCATTAACAGGGAAAGTCATGTAACTTACGACAGAATGTATTGAGTTCTGGACAGTAATACTACAAAAGATGTTAGCTTCCACTGGAATTGATTCTGAGAAGAGCTCTTAGGATGATTATGAAGACATCCATGATAAGATGACTAGAGAAGAGTTATTTTTGCCTTTAAAAAGAAAATCTGAAAAGTGGAAATGTCTCTGCTGTCTACCCACACAAAGTAGCAGTAAGAGGAAGCAAATACTAAGAAAAGAAAATTACTTAAAAAGCAACATGAGATCAAAACACTTAAACCGTTGTAAACAACTTTATCTTTGATTAGAAAAAAGCTTTTGAGAGAGAACTGATTAGAATTTCTTTGATTAACCACCAAAGGAATGAACTTCTGGAATAGCCTTTGAAAGTAGTAGCAATGTAACTGTATTTGTTAAAACAGCCAAATAAACTGACTGATGCTATCACACAATAGAACAGAGAAGCTCCAGAGTTGCAGCTGAAGACCTGTGGCATGAAGATTTGGGATACTGATGAGCGACTGAGCATACTTTTCCTATCCACATTTGTGGATAGAATTTGTTGGGGTTTTTTATGTTTCAGCTGCCACTGGTGTCTTCCTACAGCGTATGATAGTTCTTGAGACTTTCAGATGGGATCTCAGATTTACACATCTAATTTAGATGTGATTGGTAACTGTACTGATTAGATCTCCTTTGCCTGAGTAGTTCAGACATCACCTCACAGGTAAACACCTAAATAATAGGTATCAATCTGAAGCTGAAGTCTATACTAATTCTATGCATTTCTCTTCTGTACCGTGGACCTATTTGAAACAGACTCTTAAGTTGCTGTCCATCACTGCAAGGGATTGAATTAGGTGACTGAAATTCTCTCATTAATACTCATGTCCATGTGTAGCGCACATGGATAACAAACAGCTAAGGAAAAAAAAAATCTTAACTTAATGGAAATTGCATAGTAGTATTTCTAACTTTCACCAGTTTTTATCAGTTTTTATTTTACCAGATGTTAATATTGCCTATAAGTGGTCCTTTGCATGAAAAGACACATTCACTGAACATATTTGGTCAGGAATTCACTCACAAAGAAAGTAAAATCAGTGGCTGCTAGCACAGCATTTACTATATGTCATTCTGGCCTACTGTGTATGTAAAAAGCATACATCTTTTTAATTAATATCATCTAGCATGGGATTTTAACGTTTCTAAGTCTGAAACACCTTTTAAGACTGTTGCCGATCAGAAATAAGTTTTCCACATTAAGGATTTCAGAAAAAAACCAGCAATGTCTGCAAGGGAAAAAATACTCCAAAACTTATTCTAATAATAAAAAGAAATAGTTCCGCAAAACCCCTGAGATATATTGCATACTCAAGAACAACCAGCAGCTAATGACTAGAAGCCTTGAAAACTGACAAACATCCTGACATCCAGCTGAGTGGCTGCAATTTTATAAAAAATCCAAACCCCTTCTAACAAGACAAATTAAAAAAAAAAATAAATTCTGCTACAGGTAGCAAAAAAAAAAATAATAAATCTGACAGCTGCAGATTGTCTTCTATCTTTGCTTTGATTCTAGAAGTCTTAACATTGCTCCTTTGGAGCTTAAGAGCACACTCAAAGCTAAGACAGCATCAGTTGTAGCATTGTATTTAAGATGATCTGTAGTGTAGAAGAACATTTGGCATGGACACAGGTACAAGGCTGAACAGAAAAACATTTTGCATACATCAAAACTCCTCTTCTGGAAGAGGGAAACGAAGTGCAGCAAAAGGCTTTTCCTACTTTGACACTGTAGGAGACAAGATTTCTCTCTTGTCAAGATTTTTATCCCCTCCAAACTCTCAAAGTAAGCAAAACACTGAGATGAACAGAAAGATATCTATCTTCACAATGGAGATCACAAGCTGTTCTTTCAGGTCTGTCTTCTAAAATTACCTCTGAATTTCTTTAACAGTGCTTAGGGACCACCTAGAGTTTTTCTAACACGACAAAAAAAGTCTCTTTTGGAGCTTGTTATGTAACACAGATTAAAAAGATGTTAAATACAAAATACAGACTGTCAGCCATTTTTTCCAAAACAAAATGAGCCTAAAATATTGAGACATTTCAACAGGGTAAGTAAGGCTCAGTCATGTAATAGGTGCTTCAAACAGGAACACAATGGTTGAAATAACTGGACAAGGTTCATAAGGCTGCTACATGCAATGATTTCCGGGTCTGAGATATTTACATTAAGGACAGGATTTTATCTCAGAGAAAATTAAGTTTTCATATTTAGTTTAGTTTTCCTGTACTAAAGTGAAAAACTAAAGCTGCTGAAATTATCACATCAGCTTTACTTATCATTTACAATGACTGGTATGTCTTATCTTTTGTAAAACACTAAGGTGAAAACATACAGATAAATAAAAAAGTGATCAAGGTCTGTTTTGCAACCATTTACATTACATAAAAATTAACAGCTGATAAAATTCACAGTAACTCAAAATTACTTTTTCCTCTAATTTTTGCATATTAAGGAAAAAATATTTACTATGGCATTTAAACCCAAATATTTAAATCCCAGTGTCATTTCCACTAAAAACTGCTGTACTTTGGCTAGTACTTTTGCAGGCTCATGAACAGACTGA